CGTGCCTTAGCAAAGGTTATAAATCTAGGAAGAAAAGTTATGGTTGGCATGCATTTTAACAGTCTTTGCAATCTAACAGAGCACAAATCCCAACTTGTTTAAATTCTGAATATTTACTTTATAAAGTAAGAGAATATTTTAAAATAGAATTAAATTATAAATTTCCTACTTATTTAGAAGCTAATGTTTTTACCTTTTCTTTATGAAATTAAAAAAATCAAATATATATACTATCCACTTTACAATACAATTATGTTATATTTTAAAGTAAAACACATACAGCATACATAGATTTGGAATCAGGCCAAATTTACACTCTAGAGGCATACTATTCTGTGACTTAAATTACAATCATATGTATTTGAATACAGATCAAATTTTCAGTCTGAAGTTGGTGAGAAGCCTAATTATTTGACCAGGTTACTATTTATATAGACCATCCTGTGGCTGTCTGTGGTTAATCCACAGCTGGCAGAGTGCTAGCTCTGGGAGGTTTCTATTTCGTGCTGTAACAGTTTGGAGAAAAGTAAGAGGAGGGAGGAGCTTTATACTCTTCTCATTAAATAAAAGACCAAAACAGCAAGTCCATACCCACTGCCACAGAGACAGATCCTGTAGAAAGCGCTCCATTTGGTTCTCTTAGTGACAGAATAGACAAAGAATGCAGCTCGGATGCTCATAGTGTACAAGTGACGTGCGTCTAAAGAAAAAAGGATGAAAACATTTTTTAAATGTTAACACATTACCTTTTAGAATAATTGAAGAACTAGTGGCATGGAGTTTCAATTTTTTTTTGGTTTTTCAAGACAGTATCTCTGTGTAGTCCTGGCTGTCCTGGAACTCACTCTGTAGACCAGGCTGGCCTCAAACTCACAGAGATCTGCCTGCCTCTGCCTCTGCCTCCTGAGTGCTGGGATTAAAGGCGTGTGCCACCACCGCCCAGCTCAGCATGGAGTTTCTAAATGAGAAAACATTGTTATTATGTTAAGAAGCATCATTTGTGATAGATTGCCATTGCTAGGGTCATGGCTGACACATGACACAAGAGAAATACACAATGAATCTATTGGACAACTTCATGTGACACAGGAGCATTTAGAAGTGAAGTCTCACAGCTTAAGGAAAACAGTTTTATGCAAAATTATGAAGAAATAGTTTTTTTAAAGAATCAAGATTGGACAAAGGGGATATGATGTAATATCTAATTATAATAAACGACACGTGAGGGAATAGCATCCAGTAGACCTTGTCTTTCCAGATTCTTCTTGTCCTCCAGGAATGGGGCAGGACCTGGAATGGTCCTGTGGCCTACTTTCATGTAAAATGGGAATGCTTACACAGAAGTGTCTTCTGTAGTTTTCTCCTACATCCGAGGTATCATATCTTGGTGTTCTGTGTTCTGAGCCCCAATACAATTACAACTTAAAAGTCTCTCTAAATTTTTCAGAATGCATACGGGCAGTAAACCCCCTTTAAAGATAGATCCTTATACAAGTGACCACAAAGTTTATTCTTTTAGAATATTATGTTCAACTTAAAGTAATGAAAGTTTTTTTTTTCTCTCTCTCCCCCCTTCTGTATGTTCAAACGATGTAAGTGATTAGGCCTTCAATTACAAGTCGGTACTTTATAACATTTTGCAACTTTGGTTTGTTTGTTGAGATGGGCAGGGTCTTATTTATATTGCCTAGGCTAGCTTTGAACCATGCAATCTTCCAGACTCAGCCTAACAAGTACTGAAAATAGAGGTGTGCAAGACTGTGCCTGAGCATTTTCACAACTTTTGAAGGCATTTCCTGCATATTGTCATCATTTCTTCTTCTTTCTGTCTAGTTTCACATGACTGCCCTTCCTCTGACTCTGTGCTCTAATTATCCTCCCTTCGTTCTCCTTCTGTTTCTTCACCTGATTGTTGTCTTTGAAAAGCAGAAATGCTCATGCTGGGCCGTGATGGCGCACACTTTTAATCCCAACACTGGAGGCAGAGGCAGGCCGATCTCTGAGTTAGAGGTTAGCCTGGTCTACAGAGTGAGTTCCAGGACAGCCAGGGCTCTTACACAGAGAAACCTATCTCAAAAAAAAAAATAAGAAGGAAGGAGAGAAAAAAAAAGAAAAAGAGGAAAGAAAGCAGAAATGCTTTCTTTCAAATTTCAAAATATGACTAACCTTAAGAACTGGCCTCTGAAGCTAGACATGGTGCCTCATGTCTGTTATCCACCCCTTGAGAAGAGGAGACTACAGGATCCGGAGTTCAAGTTCAGCCTGAGCTGCATGGCAGATCCTGTCTCAAACAGACCCCCAAAAAGAACTATCCTCTCATTTCCACTCTTTCATCAAAAGAAAATCTTTCTCCTGAACTCTGGGGATATTCTATTAGGAATCATTTTAATCCAGGCTCATCACATATAAACTATATAACCTGTAAGATGTTTCTGTTTTGATTTCAGACTCATTTCTAAAGTGAGAGCAACAACAGTATGTACTCCATAGGTTTCACAATAATGGCCAGTTTGTAAGGTTTTGATCCGGTTTCTGGGACCCCAGAACTGATCAGTACATTTCAGATGATGGATTCCTATTCCTTACCCCGGTCTCCGCGGTCCTTCAGCCGCTCTGTAGTTTACTCTCACACCAAGTGCCTTTTTCTACTCATCAGTGTGTGCCTGCTCAGTGCCCTGTCTCTGCCTCCCCTAACCCTGAACACATAAGAACCCCTTTGAAATTCCCGGTCACGTGTCTCAGCCGTTCTCTCCTTTTCTGTCTTTCTGTCCTCTCTTGTTGGTCCATATTCCCTCCCTTGGTAATTAGAACCACAACCTTCTTCTAACACATTTCATACTTTTTATAGAGATTTTGAGTAGTATGGCCACAACTGAATAGTCTATTTACAATGTGACCCTGGTCTTATTCTGGAGTTTTCTATTTAATAACCAGGCCAGATTTTTTTTTAATTATTTAAATATCATCTTAGAATTCTACTCTTTGCCTTTTATGTCTTAAACTGTCCATAGGCCCCATGCTTAGAACTCCAGTGTGGCTTCCTTTTACACAGCCAAATGCAGGGGGCTGCTAGTTGTTGGTAAACTATTGCTCTCCAGTTTACCTTTCTTGCATTTTTCTCTCATCATGTTTCTTTCTTGTGAGGAAAACTCATTACCCACACTCCATCCCCACTCCACTCCCATGTTGTTGTCCAGATGCATCCTGTCCTCCACTCCAGGCCCTTCCATTGACGCACTCTGTGCTACCTAACACTGCTTCACTTCTCTTGGCTCGTCTCCACCCTCCTCACCACTCTCCTTCAACTGGACCCGCACCTTTGCCTGTCCTTCCATCTGAAGGTGCTCATAGGAGCTGAGGGCTTTTATCCTGAGACATATGGACAAGCACTGTTTTAAAATACAGCTTTCCTGGCATGAAACTAATTAAAATAATTTTCTTTTGTAGTCTTGGATTATTTTCTTATTATTTAAATATTCTAACTAAAAGTTGGCGGTTCGTTTGTTTGTTTTATTTAAGAGATTTTCTATTAAGTGATTCATTGTACATACCAACCACAGATTCCTCTCTCCTCCTTCCTCCTGCTCCCCAGCCTTCCCCCCAGCACACCCCCCATTCTCACCTCCACCAAGGCAAGGTCTCTCATGGGGAGTCTGAAGAGGCTGGTACATTCAGTTGAGGCAGGTCCAAGCCCTCCTCCCTGCACCAAGGCTGAGCAAAGTGTCTCACCATAGGCACTATGCTCCACAAAGCCGGCTCATGCACTAGGGACAGGTCCTGATCCCACTGCCTGGGGACCCCCTAAACAGTTTAAGCTAAACAGCTGCCTTACTTAACCAGAGGGCCTAGTCCAGTACCATGGGGGCTCCTCAGCTATTGGTCCACAGCTCATGCGTTTCCACTAGTTTGACTAGTCGTCTCTGTACTTTTTCCAATCATGGTCTCGATGTCCCTTGCTCATAGAACCCCTCCTCTCTCTCATCGATTGGACTTCTGGAGCTCAGCCCAGGACCCGGCCATGGATCTCTGCATCTGCTTCAATCAGTCACTGGATGAGGGCTCTATGATGACGGTTAGGGTGTTCAGCCATCTGATCACCAGAGTAGACCAGTTCAGGCACCCTCTCAACTATTGCCAGTAGTCTATGGTGCAGTCATCCTTGTGGATTCCTGGGAACTTCCCCAGCACTCTGCTTCTCCCTATTCCCATGATGTCCTCATTTATCATGGTATCTCTTTCCATGCTCTCCCTAAGAGTTAATTTTAAAAATCCAGATATTGTGACACCTGCTTGTAATCTCCAGACTCCTAGAACTCTCCAGGCCAGCCTTGGTTGACATACTGATTGGAACACTGTCTCAAAGCTATAAAATAAAATTAAATAAATTCAGTTACAATGTTTTTGTTTTGTTTGTTTGTTTGTTTTTGGGTTTTTTTGAGACAGGGTTTCTCTGTGTAGTTTTGGTGCCTGTCCTGGATCTCACTCTGTAGACCAGGCTGGCCTTGAACTCACAAAGATCCTCCTGGCTCTGCCTCCCAAGTACTGGGATTAAAGGCATGTGCCACCACCGCCTGGCAATGTTTTTTAAGATAATAAGTAAGCTATGCTCTTTATAAACATAATTTTTAAATCATTGACAGGATGTGACAGTTTATAAGAAGCTAGAAGGGGTTGATCTGCCTCCATTTGTATTTCTCAAATTCAGATGTACTTATGATCTTCTTGTGTATTTTTGTTTCATAGGTTCCAAGAATTTTTTGGGAGTGCACATATGTAATCTGATATGAAATAATCTTTCTTCTCTTTAGAAACAGCATGTATCAAGCATATAGCACTCACATGATAAACTTTTTTCTAGTTAAATACAGCCACTTTCTGCCTCGGACTTTATAATTAAATTTGCACAGGCATTGATATTTTGTATAGATTTCTTTTGTTCTCACTTAGACTAAGTGTGGAGGTGCCAGTTCTGATTTTCTCTTCTTTTTTTCTTTTTCCAGGGCTTTTTTCTTACAGTCTCCCCAGAGTCAGTATTGAAAGTGGCCCACTATGCTGCTGAGAACAACAGGATCTTCACTTTGAATTTGTCGGCCCCATTCATTAGCCAGTTCTTCAAGGAATCCTTGATGAAAGTCATGCCTTATGTTGACATCCTCTTTGGAAATGAGACGGTGAGTTGCTTTTTAAAAAAAACAACAACAAAAGTCAACTAGAGTCAGGTGTGGTGTTGCATGCCTTTAATCCCAACATTCGGGAGGCAAAGGTAGGCAGAGCCTGTCTCTAAACAACAAAACAAAGAAGTAATCCTTCTGTTTCTGGGCTGTGTGTATGTGTAGGAATGCATAAGTAAAACCCTAAATTTGAGGTCAGTGTCCTTGAGAAGTATGCAAGAGTCACTCAATGTGGATTTCTCTACAACTGTATTTTCTATATTTTCTACAGACTAACTTCTTAGTAAAAAAAATAAGTTTTTAAAAGGTGAAATCATTGGGGTATAATTTATATAGTAAAATTCACCCTTCTTACTCTAGACTCCTACACTTCTGCAAATGCATATGTGACCTGTAACTATGACCACAACCAAAAGTTTTTAAAAACTTTTCTCAGTTGTAAAATCTTCTGTCTGAATCTATTTAAAGTTAACAAATTATGAGTAAATTTGATACTATAATTTTTTATTTGACTTATTACTGAGATTATTCTGGAAATATTGTGTATTATAGTTGAAAATGTTAAAGTAGAATTTCATTTAAACTATTCTTCTTTTAGCAAGTGATGTATTTTTGCCCATTAAAAGTCAAGGGAAACTTTAAAAATAGAATAGAGAAGGCTTTGACTGAGCCTCCATGTGATGTTAGCCATTATCAGTGAACTTTTATGAATGTTGGGAGTTTTGTGTGTAAAATGACGTTTCCATTGGTCACCCTGGAAATGAATTCTGATTCTAATCCTCTGGTCCTAATGTTTGAATATATTAATTGATTTTTATATGTCAGTAAGTTAAATGTGTAGTCAGCCTAAAGAAACTTAAAAATCTGACCTGGGATTTCACCTGAGTGAGGACTGAAGGATTGGTCTGTAGAAAGAATATCAAGGGCTTAAGAGCACTGGCTCCTCTTCCAGAGGTCCTGGGTTCAATCCCCAGCAACCACATGGTGGCTCACAACCATCTATAATGAGAACTGGTGCCTTCTCCAAGTGTGCAGGCATATATGCAGACAGAACACAATATATATAATAAATAAATAAATCTTTAAAAAAAAAAAAAAAGAATATCAAATGTGTGAGCATACAAAGGCCAGCACCATTGAAAGGAAACATTACCTTCTTTACACATTAACTACATTAGTTTTGTTCATTATGATGCAACTAAATGCCAGATAGGAAACAATGCAAGAGGGGAAGCTGTATTTCAGCTGGGCAGTGGATCGAGTCTGTCATGGCAGGGGGTATGACAGAGCTTATGGCAATGGGAACGTGTGAGCAGGACTCGACATGTCTCAAGAGATTAAGAAGCAGAACAGGAAGTATGCCAAGTTATAGACCTCAGGGTCCAGTTCCTCCAGCTCAGTCTCACCCCCTAAAGGCTCTTCCAAAATGACCAAACATCCAAACAAATGAGCCTTTGGGTGACATTTCCTATCCAAACAAGAATATTAAGACAATGACAAGAAATAAACATGAAAGACTTGAAAACTTACCAGATAGCTAGCTGCTAGAGTCTCATTTGACTAAAACCTGCCTTTTCTTTACATGGCTGCAGTGTGTGTGTGTGTGTGTGTGTGTGTGTGTGTGTGTGTGTGTGTGTGTGTGTGTGTGTGTGTGTTTATACAATGGAGTTTTTAATTTTTATTCCGATTTTATGTGTGTGAGTATTTTTGCCTCTGTATATGAGTGTGTACCATATGTGTGCCTGGTGCCTGTGGAGACCAGAAGAGGGACTTGGATCCCTGGAATTGGAGTTGTAGAAGGTTGTGAGCTGCCATAGGCTTGGGGGTGCAGCTGAGGGTAGAGTACCTGTTTAGTATGGCAGTACCCTGCATTCAAACCCAACACCAAAGGTGGGGGAGGGGCGGTAAGTAAATTCACAAACTGTAGAACAGTGGCTTCCAGTGGCCATGGGTGGGCATGGAGCGTGGTGATGGTTACACAGAACTGTGATTATGCCTAATAACACTGAATTAAGCACTTAAAATGGTAAGTTTTATCTTACACATAGTTGACTACAATTTTTTAAACATTGATTCTTTAACATAGTAACATTGGATTAGTTCTTAATATAGATTATTAAATAATATTTCCATACCTAGAAGACAAAACTATAAGCATGCTACATGGCTGTCATGTTGGACAACTTTTTCTTTTCTTTTTTTAATGAATCTTGTTCATTTTCATTCATTCCAATAGATATTTATGTAGCAAGGCCTATTGTAGTAAACCAATAACCAACAGGATCTCCTTGTATGATCTGTCATGATGTCGGTTATAGAATAGAGATGTCTACGGGATGAGTAGATGTGTGGATTTTATTGAAGGAGACACTAAAGGTCTTCTTATAAATAATCAGATTCCTAGTGGAGTGTGGAGTGTTTATCCTGCACTTTAAACTGTGAATGGAGGAAGCTGCATTTGCATATGATACAAAGTCACATAATACAACACCTTAATGATAGCCAAGTAAATTGGATGTTGGAATGTCGGGGTGCACAGTGTATCAGTGGTTGGTTGAAGAGAGAAGGCACTCCCAAGATGAAATTTTAAGGCCTATGCAGCAGCAGGAACGTCCAGCCTCTTCTGACTGACTGAACCCCGAACAGCTGTACAAAGGCGTGTTTATTGAAAGTTACACAACGTATTTCCTCATACCATGGTCCCAGTCTTAATTTACTGTCTTACTGAAGGAGAGCACCGCATGCTTCCATGACCCTAGTCCTTTATTATGTATCGTGTACAATACACAATGATACAAGAGCCTAAGGTGTGCCTGAAGCATCTTGTGACCAAAGTTATGGGATGGCTGCAAAGCCCTCCCGGCAAAGCAGTTCTACAGATCACAGGAAACATTCAGTTTTCCACAAGGATTCTTCAAGGTCAAAGTACTTCTAAAAAAAACATTGTTCATTCTAAAACCTACCCTGTACAGTGATTCTGCTAAATTCTTACAACATCAGAATCAGATGTTTTAAATGTTAATGGGCTAGAAATATCAGCTAAGGTGTTACAATTTAATAAGGATAATAAAAATAATACTGTATTTGATTACAAAGAGCAAGTAGATTAATGTTTTATCTTTTGAACATATTACCCATTGTTCTCCTTGAATACGTTAGTGATGATAATAAATTATCTTCAGTTCTTAAAGAAAACAGGCATTTCGTTGTAAAGATGTAAAATATACTTCACAAGAAATATATATGTATGTATATAAATTTACGTAATTATTTTTCTTTCCTCTTTTCCCTCCCTAACTCTAACCCCCAAAAGGATCTGCTTAATATTTGATTTCTAAACTGTCGACACATAGCTAACATCAAACTTCCTTAGCTTTTGTTTTCTGCTGGGTCTTCACTTTCCTGTTCGGGAAGGGTTTGAACACGAGCACCAATGATTTTCCAGTGGTCTAAGTTAAAAGTAGAGTGCTTCGGCGGGTGGGCACAGAGGGCATGACTGCAGACTGAAGCACTTGGGAGGCAGGGGCAAGAGGACTGCAAGTACCAGACTGTCCTGGACCACGCAACTAGCCTTCCTCTCAAGACGAGAGATGAAACCCAGGGACTGGAGCGGTGGCGCAGCAGTTGAGAGTGCCGGCTGCTCTCCCAGAGGACCCGGGTTCAATCCCCAGCACACACATGGTGGCTTTCACCTGTCTACAACTCCTGTTCCAGAGGATCATGTACCCCTCCAGACATACATGCAGGCAAAACACACATACACTTAAATAAGTAAATTTTAAAGATAGTAAATAAAAACCAACTCGTCCACCAACATTATCCCTTCACAGACAGGAGTCAGTGATCCCCATGAAACCAGTAAAAGACAAACACACAGCAATCGCCCCACCTCCTGCTTACAGCATTCTCACCCTTCCCGAAGGTGCCACCCTTTAATACAGTGGTGACCCCAACCATAAAATTATTTTATTGCTACTTCATGTGGTAATGACCCCCAACCATAAAATTATTTTGTTGCTACTTCATAACTGTAATTTTGCTACTGTTAAGAATTGTAATGAAGCTCTTCTCTGCTCTCTCCTCCCTACTGTCTCTCTCTCTCCTCCCTACTATCTCTCTCTCTCCCTCTCCCTCTCTCCCTTTCTCCCTCTCTCCCTCTCTCTCTCTCTCCCTCTCTCTCCCCCTCTCTCTCTCCCCTTCACCAAGCCTGATTCTTTTGCCCCCCTTCCTAATAAAGCTCTGATATGGGGGGAAAAAAGAATTGTAATGGAAATATTTTTAATGATAGAGGATTGACAGAGGGGTTGAGAACCACTGAAGTAGATAAAGTAAGTTACTAAGTAATGAGATTTACTTTCTTATTGTATTAAGGTAAGAAATACTTAAAAGGGACTCAGAATGCAACTCAGTTGGTAGAGTGCTTGCCTGGCTACAGAAACCTCACAGGCCTGTACTCTGGCTACTTGGGAGGTGGAGGCAAGATCAGCAGTTCAAGGTCAGCCTGGGCTACATGACTGCCTGTCTGAACGACACCACAGAAGGAGCGGGAAGGAGCAAAGCTAATATGCCAACCATTTTCAAGCGTGCAGTTTGCTGGTGTTTATGTGTATCTGCAGTACTACAACACCCGTCCCACAATCCATTTGCAAAACATTTCCTTCATCCCAAACAGAAGCTCTATGCATGTTAAATAATAACTCCACCCTTTTCTGTCTTCCCAGCCCTTATAGTCACTTTTTTACATGGCATTATGAGTTTGCACATCCTAAGTACCTCATATAATTAGCTTCATTTAATAATTATCTGACGTCTCTTATTTCCCATATTGTTTTCCAAGTTTGTCCATTATAGCATGTCTTAGAAGTTCATTGTTTCCTAAGTTGAATAACCTTTCTCTTTCTCTGTGTTTTCCCCACGACACTTCCCACTAGCTTTTTACCGGGGTTCTGTCAGTGTCTTACGTGTTCTAGGCAAATAGTCCACACTTGTCTGTCCTGCAG